GGTGAACTGTGGGGGTGGGGACGGTTGCCACCTGCTCCAGGCGTGTTTTCTGGCAGCTTGAAAGCCGGGAGGGAGAAGCAGGGGATGAGAGAGGAGGGGGAGGGAGCAGAGAGGCGGATCTGTGTCTAGGGCTGCAGTAACCAAGCACCATAAACCTCATGGTGTAAGACAGCAGCAGTCTGTCTGCTGCAGCTTTGGAGCGAGGGCCCTGCTCCCTCTGCCGCCCCTGCTCTTCCTGGCTCCTGGCGGCGGCAGCAATGTTTGACCTTGCTTGGCCTGAAGCTGCACTACTCCGACCTCTGCCTGTCTTCATGCGGTCTCTCTGCTGCTTGGACAGACGCTGCTCATTGGCTTCGGTGCCCACCCCCATCCAAGATGGCCCCGTCTTAACTTGGTTACATCTGCAGAGACCGCTCACCAATAAGGGCCCATGCTGAGGTTCTGCATGGACGTGACTTTAATGCGAACACCATGGACCCCGGCTGGGAGGCTGGCGATGGGGTTGGGCAGAAACAAAGATTCAGACATGAGCAGCCCTATAGTACGAACCACAGGGCCAGCGTCAGGGCAGCCTTGAGCGCTGGCCTAGGCTGGGTCTCTTCCCTAGCCAGTACTATCCACGCAGCCAGGAGCTATGAGGCCACAGGGATGCGCCTTCGTGGTGCCCACATACGCCATATTTCCAGGGCGCACCTGGGTCCTGGCAGCATGAAGCCATTTCCAAGCGCACGCAGGGGTCTCTCCAAGGTCTGCTTGGGGGAGCCTGGCTCGTGGTATATGAGCCCCTGAGCTTAAAGGGGCAGCTGTCTCAGTCTGTGTTCTGTTGTCCCAACACCCAAGATGGGTCATTTCTAAGGGGTGGAAGTCTATTTGGCTTGCAGGAAGGCCAAGAACATGGCGCCGGAACCTGCTCAGCTTCCAGGACAGCCCAGCTGCCTGTTCTAACAGACCCACTCGGGCACAGCCCCATAATCCGTGAGCAGGTTGCTCATCTCTTCACGGCCCCACCTGGTCCTGGCTCTGCTTCTCGCACAAGGAGGAGTCAGTTTGAACTTGAGAGGCATTCAAACCCCAGCAGGCAGCCAGGGAACAGCTGTTGCTGGGCTCAGAGCAGTCCTTGAACTTCAGGGCTGGGAGGCCGCCCGTGCTCGTGCAGGGGCTGCTCAAAGTGTGTGGAGGAGAAAGGGGGTAGGCTGTGAACTCCCAGGGGCCAGGGAGGATTCTAAATCCAGACCGGGCCTTCCAGGTTGGACCGACGGTGGTTTATCAAAGAGGGAGGGCGATGAAATCCGAGTGGAGCTGGAGCCATCTGGTAACCTCTGGACTCACCTTGGCCCTGTCGCTCTCTGAATTCTATCACCGTGGCTGTGTTCAGCTCATGTTTTGCCAGGCCCCTTACTATAACCTCTGAGGATGCGTCACAAGCACAGGGACTCTCCCTTCTCATCTGTGAAATGGGACTCATCATCGTTACTGCTCTGCTGATTTGCTGTTGCTGGGGGAACACACGAGCTGACGGTTTTGAGACACAGAGCACAGGGCCTGGCACGCAGTGAGCGCCCTGGGTGTGCCTGCTGCTGTCACTCTCGGTCCCCACTGCGGCCCCAGTGTGGGGAGCAATCCGGACTAGACTGAGTTACTGGAATTAAGACTTATTCTATGCATCTGCTCTCCCACAATATGGCGCTGGGAGAGAAGTAAACAGCTTCCGCACAGCTGCCTCCAGTTCAGCTAATAAACTGTAGGACTTGCTCCTGATTGGAGGAGAGCAGCGTACTCGGCGTGTGGGCAGCCGAGTTAGGATTGGCGGAGGAGGACTATAAAGGAGGAGAGAGACGGCATGCACCGGGAACATCTAAGGGGAACACCTGAGGGAACACCTGTGCAGCCCCCCGAGAGAGCTGGCCGGCGGTGTGCCGCTCCCCTGCGGAAGTGGGGAATGCGGCCAGGGGGAACTGCCCTTCCACGGAGGTGGAAGGGATAGTAGCCAACCTGGGAAGAACCAGCAGCAAACCCGGGGAGGGCCGAGCAGACGAAAGAACAGCGCAGGGTCCTGTGTCGTTCCTCCACGAAGAGGGGGAGCGACACCCAGCATCCCAGGGAAGGGGGGCCTGGGAGGCGCTAGCAAACACCTGCGGGATAAGTGAGAGAATGGCCAAGGATGCGGGGAGCTGTGCCCTCCCCTGCTCTCAGGTGGAAGACTTTGCGCCCGAGAGCCAGGGGAGCCGAGGAGCTGCTGGCTTCCAGCACCGTCCCTGGACGAGGGGAAGGTGCCCTGTCATCCTCCCCAGGGCTGACTGCCCCCAGCGACCAGATCTGCCGCTGAGATGATTCTCTGTGCCGAGGGAAGCTAGATTGGAAGCGTCACTAAAGGAGGAGAAGTAGGCAAGGGCAGGAGGTGCGGGGGACAGGCAGAGAAGTGAACACTTCCAGGTGCAGGGGAGTTGGTGGCTGGGACTTCCTGATGCCTGGGCCGGGGTGGAACCTGACCTCTAGCTAGCACCGCAGACTGACTGCTGGGGGAAATCAGGTTTGAGGGGAAGCTCTTTTCTGTTTTATTTATTTGAAAGGTAGGCAGACAGACAGATGTCCCATCTGTTGATACACTCCCTGAACAATCTGCAACAGCTGGGGCTGGGCCGAACCCAAGCCAGGAGCCACAAACTCAATCCATCTGCATGGGGGTGCAGGGACCCAGGTACTTGCCCCGTCACCTGCTGCCGCCCTGGGTGTGCATTAGCAGGATGCTAGTCTCAGAAGCTGAGCTGGGACTTGAACCCCGATGCTCTGATATGGGATGTGGGTGTCCCAAGTGGCACTTTAACACCTCTCCTGAGGGTGAGATTCTTTAAAATTTTGGAGAGGCCAGTGCCATGGCACAGTAGGTTAATCCTCTGCCTGTGGCACCGGCATCCCATATGGACACCGGTTCTAGTTCTGGCTGCTCCTCTTCCAATCCAGCTCTCTGCTGTGGCCTGGGAAAGCAGTAGAAGATGGCGAAGTGCTTGGGCCCCTGCACCTGTGTGGGAGACCCGGAGGAAGCTCCAGGCTCCTGGCTTCAGATCGGTGCAGCTTTGGCCATTGTGGACATCTGGGGAGTGAACCAGCAGATGGAAGACCTCTCTCTGTCTCTCCTTCACTGTCTGTAACTCTACCTCTCCAATAAATAAATAAAAATCTTTTTAAAAATTTTTAAAATTTCATTATTTTGAAAAGATTTATTTATTTGAAAGGGGGTGGGGTGAAGAGAGAGAGATCTTCCATCTGCTGGTTCAAAGCCCAGATGGCTGCAATGGCCAGGGCTGGGCCAGGCCAAAGCCAGGAGGCAGGAGCTCCATCCGGGTCTCCCATCTGGGTGGCAGAGGTCCAAGCACTCACTCAGGCCATCCTCCACTGCTTTGCCAGGTGCATCAGCAGAGAGCTGGATCAGAAGTGGAGCAGCCGGCACTCAAACCGGTGCTCCGGTATGGGATGTCGTCATCACAGGTGGTTGCTTAGCCTGCTGCAGCACAGCGCCAATCAAGGGGAGCCTCTGAAGTTGAACTTTGAGACGTCGCAAAGACATGCAAGAATTGGCCCAGGCTCCAATCCCTGAGCGTACAGTGCCAGTCATACTTGGGGCCTCAATTTCCCCATCAGCAGATGGAGCTGACTGTGGGCAAGTCGCCCAGCCCAGAGTTGGGCACCATTTGGGGAAAGAACCCGTCACTCCTACCTGCCACTGTCTCTGTTAGAATCAACAGATGCACAAGGCCAAGCGGTTGAAGTGGAAAGAGAATTTACTGTTCTGGTAACGGCCCCCTCCACAGCTGGCCCTGGGGCTCAAGCACTATACTAGGGGCTCCGTGTCGTCCACGTGTGCCCACCATGGACACTAGCTCAGCAAATATGGTATCGGGAGCAGGTGCTGTCTCACAGTCCTCGCCACAAAGTCTCAAGGGAGATTCTGATTGGTGTAGCCTGGGCATGTGCCCAGCCCAGAGCCAATCACGGTAGTCAGGCCTGGGTCACGTGACTCTTCTGGTTCTGCCAGGGACCAGTTTCAGGCAAGGGAAACCAGCCGCTCCGGGTCCTGTCCCCAGTCTGTGCCGCGGGGGTTTCAGGAAGGGAAGTGATGTGAACGTGCACTTCCAGGTGCAGAGTGGGAACCCAGCTGGCGCACGTGGGACACTGGCACAGCCCTGCATTTGTATCTCTTTTATTTATTTGACAGGCAGAGTGGACAGTGAAAGAGAGAGAGACAGAGAGAAAGGTCTTCCTTTTGCCGTTGGTTCACCCTCCAATGGCCGCCACGGCCGGCGCACCGCGCTGATCCGATGGCAGGAGCCAGGTGCTTTTCCTGGTCTCCCATGGCGTGCAGGGCCCAAGCACCTGGGCCATCCTCTACTGCACTCCCTGGCCACAGCAGAGAGCTGGCCTGGAAGAGGGGCAACCGGGACAGAATCCGGCACCCCGACCGGACTAGAACCCGGTGTGCCGGCGCCGCAAGGCAGAGGATTAGCCTAGTGAGCCGCGGCGCCGGCTATATCTCTTTCAGTTCTTGGCGAGTGTGGGCGTCCCCCAGCGGTCTGAAGTTCAGGGGCATCCACCTCTCGGCCTCCTCCGTCTGTCACCGAGCTCAGGAGGCAGACAGGAGATGTCAGTCCGTGTCCGGGGTCAGAGGTCACACTGCCCATCAGTGGCCGGCAGTGGACAGGTGCTGCCTGCCCCAGGGGAAATTCAGGACCCGGGAGTCCTCCAGCAAGATCAGCAGGAACAGCTTACGCAGGCTGTCACGGGGACCTCTGGGGTCACAGCGTCAGCGGGAAAGTTCTGGAAGCCCCGGGCGTGCTGGACGCGTGGATGCCTTTCCAGCAGCGAGCGTGGCTCGGATTGGAGCACTCGGGGTGCTCCCTGCCAACTGGCAGTGGCGCTGTGGACCCTGGCCCTGTCTAGCTTAGCAACGAGAAAAGTCTGGAAGAGCTCTGGGATTAATTTAGAGACAGAAGAAAAACACCAAGGAGGGGCTTAGCAGCAGAGTAATCAGGCTGCGTGTTTATTATCACCTCTGCGGCCACGGCGGGCCGGGCGTGTGTTCCGCGTGCGTTTCCTGGTCAGGGTGGGGACGCCTGCCCTCCGGGAGGAGGAGCAGCACACAGCATGGACAAACTAGGTCTTGTCAGGAACCTGTCTTCGCGCCTTCTGCTGGGATCCTCCCAACACATCCGCGCCCAGGCTGTCAGAGGGGATCTGCAGGTCCTGGTGGCAGGAAGCACTTCCTAGATTTCACATGGGCCCGGCGGGAGGTGACCGGGCTGTCGGTGGGGCCCTTCAGGGACTGTTTCAGTCCTGGGTGGCCGTCACAGCTCCCCTGGGCTGACAGTCCAGCCTGCTCTGGGGCAGACCAGAAATTAGCAATAAGTGAGCCACAGAGAGTGGCGCTGACCCTCTGGAAGGGGCGCGACCTGGGAGAAGGGAAGGCGGGGAGCCCGAGAGTGTAGCTAGGTCTTCCCTTACCCTGGCTCTGCTTGGAGTTTCCTGGGGCGGACTGGGGTGCAGAGGGAGGCGGGGCCAGGAGGGTCAGTGCCCGCCCATCCAGGGTGGGGCTGCGGAGTTCCAGTTGGTCCTAAAGCAATTCACAAGATGAGAAGCCACTTAGGCTGTAGATGGAGGCGAGGCGCTGGCGGTCAGGTTTACAGCTGAGAGAGAGCAGCCCAGCTGCTGGGGACGGAACGGATGGGAAGGGTGCGAGGCTGCGAGCCGGTGGGCCCCGTCGGAAGGCATGAGATGACGCGTGGCTCTCCTCCAGGGGACCAGCAGTGTGGAACCCCAGCCAGCCCCAGCACAGAGCCTCATTTCCTGGAGAACATCTACTTCCATGCCTCACTGTCTATGGGAATGGCCCACACATCCTGCTCGGCTTAGGACATTGCTGGTTTTAGCACATAAGTCCCTGGTCCCAAGAAACTCCTCAGCCCCAGCCAAATCTGGATGATTGGGCTCCGTACTCTGGCACAGGATGAAACGGGGCAGTAAGAATTGGCTCCACCACTGCCTGCAGCATCCCTGTACCCTCCCCTCCAAGCAACCCTGAAACAGAAACAGGCTCAGCTGCTAGTTTGCTGTGTGGCCTTGGACAAGTTACTTGGCCCCTCTGGGCCACTGTTTCTGCATTTGTAAAATGACCTGGAGGGCCTTGCAGTCTCCTGACAGCACTGATCTGCTGCTGCTGCCTTTTCTTTTAAAGATTTATTTATTTATTTGAAGGGCAGAGTTACAGAGAGGCAGACGGAGGGGGAGAGAGAGAGAGAGAGGTCTTCTACCCACTGGTTCACTCCTCAGATGGCCACAACAGCTGGAGCTGTGCCGGTCTGAAGCCAGGAGCCAGTAGCTTCTTCCAGGTCTCCCACGTGGGTGCAGGAGTCCTAGCACTTGGGCCATCTTCTACTGCTTTCCCAGGCCACAGCAGAGAGCTGGATCGGAAGTGGAGCAGCTGGGACTGGAACTGGCACCCATATGGGATGCTGGCACTGCACGCGGTGGCTTTACCCACTGTACCACAGTGCCAGCCCCTGATGCTGCATTTTTAAACAAGTTTTCAAAAAAAATTTTTTGAAAGGCAGTTAGAGTTAGAGAAGGAGGGAGGGGGACAGAGAAATCTTCCATCCCCTGATTCCCTCCCCAAAGGGCTACAACTGCCAGGGCTGGGCCAGACCGAAGCCAGGGGTCTGAACTGGAGCTCCAGCCAGGGCCCATGCACTTGGGCCATCTTCTGCTGCTTTCCCAGGCACATTAGCAGGAAGCTGGATTGCAAGTGGAGCAGCCGGGGACTCGAACCAGCACTCACATAGGATGCCAGTATAACTGACAGCAGCTTAACCCTCTGCACCTCAACACCGGCCCCTGCTGCATTTTAAAGCTCTATCAGTGCACAGAGGGCTGGGCATAGAAGACAGGGGCCATGGACCAAGAGTGTGGTCTGGCCAAGGAAGCCCTCCTTTGTCCGTGGATGGGAGACAGAATGCGCGTCAGGAAAGCGGAGCCCTATGGACGTGGGGTGGTTCTGTCTGCCGTCGTGAGATACTGAGTAGTTGGAGAGTGAGAATTCTGGTTAATGGAACGTCTGGTTGAGGGCATGGTCATCTTCAGTAGGGACTGCCCGTGTTCTCGAGATCCAGGGTGTGATAAAGTGCCCCGTATCACGTCTGCCATAACGGCACTTGAGCTCCGTTGAGAGCTGAGTCTCACCAGTTGCAGGCTAGGTCTTTTTTTGGCCACAGTCCCTCCATAAAAGATGAGATCCCATTATACCCATTTTACAAATGAAAATAGAGACTAAGCGAGATCAAAGGGCCTGCCCTGAAATGGCCACAATTTGGGGGTTCACGTTGTAGCACATCCGGTGGAGCCTCTGCCTGTGACCATCTCCTGGGTGCTAGATGGAGTCCCAGCTGTTCCACTTCTGAGCCAGCTCCCTGCTGGTGTGCCTGGGAAAGCTGCGGGGGATAGCCGGAGTGCGGGGGTCCCTGCTACCCACGTGGGAGACCAGGAAGAAGCTCCTGGCTTCAGCCTGGCCCAGCCATGGCCATTGTGGCCATTTGAAGAGTGAACCAGGTAATGAAAGTTCTCTCTTTCTCACTCTGTAACTCTGCCTTTCAAATAAGTAAGTCTTTATAAACTTGAATTTGAACTTGAATCTGACTCAGTGCCCTGTTCACTCCACCAATAGACCTCTCCTTTCTCGGAAGCTGCACAGGGAGGGTGAGAGGTACATGAGGTGGGGAAGGGGTGCAGGAGGCAGTTCTGCGAGGGAGAGGGGACCCCATGAGGAGCCTCACTCTCCTGGCCTGCCCCTCGTGTGGGTGGATGGGAGACTTCTCAAGGCTGCCTTCCCGCCCCCAGTTGCCATGGAGATGCAGGTAGGATGCCCACAGATAGATCTCAAGTCCGCTACTGAGGCTGGCAGTGGGCAGTCCAGCCTGATACCCTGGACGCAGTAGGTTGGGCTTTGTTCTTTTTACTTTGAAAATCTTCAAGTGCGCGTGGGAAGAGTTTGTGAAGCCGCAGCCCCTCCCGGCTGTCTTGTCCCAGCCAGACGCCCCTCGCCTCCCCTGTCCCACATTGTTCTGAAGCACATGCGGACACCAGTCCTCTCACCGCAATTATCTGAGCACAGGTTTCCAAAAGAGCTTTTTTGTTTTCCTGCCCGGATCTCCACCGTGATAGTAATGGTGATGTCTAGTCCGCCTCCAAATGTCTCTGCATCTCCTAAATGTTTCCTTCGTGGTTGGTACAACCAGGATCCAAACGGGGCTCACTCCTGCAGCCGGTCAGCGCGTCAGTCGCATCCATCGGCATCCATCCACACCTGCAGGCTCTCTCCCCTCGCCGTCTATCTGTCGAGGAAACAGGGCTGTGTTCTGGAGTGTCCTACAACCTGGATTTTGCTTATCGCCGTCCCACAGAAGTGTTGTAACTGTTTCTTTCCCCCTTTTATAGGAGGGGACTTCAGAAAGTGTGGAAAATGGAATTAAAGGATGTTTATTTTGATGCAAAAAAAAAACTTCTCAAATCCATGCATGTTTCCCATAATTGGCATTTTCCCACAAACCTTTTTTTTGAGTGACAGCGAGCTCCCCAGGTGACTTTCCTAGCTCGGGCTGGAGCTGGGAGGTGAGGATGAAATCCAGGTCTCCCACGTGGCCCAATTACTGCAACACTGCTGCTGCCCCGCAGGGTCTGTGTGAGCAGGGAGCTGAAGCCAGGAGGCTGCGCTGGGAACCCAGACCTGGCGCTTGGTGTGGGATGGCGGTGTCTACGCTGCTGGGATAAATGCCTGCTCCTTGCCAGTGTTCCTGAAATGCACCCCCCCACACACACACTTTTTTTTCGCAGAAGCTGGCTGTTAGATCTACAGGTTCGCTCTGATTATGTTCGGTGGTGTTTGCGTGTGTTTGACCACTCCCTGGCGGCTGTTACTGTTTCAGTTCAGGCCTCCCCTCGCTGGCGGCCCCTTCCTGCGATGTTAACACATGTTGAAGGTCCACCGTCCACACCCAGTGTGTGATTAGAGGTGGCACAACAGCAACAGGCTAATCCTGCTGTTGAGTCCTCCTTGGTGGACAGGAACGCCTCCGTAGTGAGCATCAACTTCCCAACTACTCACTTGCCATAAAGTAGGGCTCATGCAGAAAAGGATAAGCGCTGGATTGGTTCCCTTTGACAGTTTTCAAACGAGCTGGCTGCCAGCATCCTCCAGAGGTGACAGATGATGCCTATGTTTCTTCTCTAAGCAGTATCGTGAACTCGGAGTTTTGAACATACGTGAAGTGTATGAAATTGCCATCAGTATTCCTGGGGGCTGGCGCTGTGGCTCACTAGGCTAATCTTCCGCCTGCAGCACCGGTGCCCCAGGTTCTAGTCCCGGTTGGGGCGCTGGTTCTGTCCTGGTTGCTCCTCTTCCAGGCCAGCTCTCTGCTGTGGCCCGGGAGTGCAGTGGAGGATGGCCCAAGTGCTTGGACCCTGCACCCCATGGGAGACCAGGAGAGGCACCTGGCTCCTGGCTTCGGACCAGCGCAGCGCCAGCCGTGGCAGCCATTTAGGGGGTGAACTAACGGAAAAGGAAGACCTTTCTCTCTGTCTCTCTCTCTCACTGTCTAACTCTGCCTATCAAAAAACAAAAAGAAAAAGAAATTGCCATCAGTATTCCTGGGGCTGTTCAGACTTGGGCCTGTGGCAGCCTCTTCAGGTAGATGCCTGCATCCTTTCTGACACGACCCCCAAAGTCACTGACAGCTTTTTTTTTTTTTTTTTTTTTGCCACCGGGCACAAGGAATGATGAGACAGTCCAAGCTCATCCTGAGCGTTTCTTGCTCCAGACCTGGAACTGGCCATGTGTCCCCCGAGCCTTAATTTCTACTGGAGGTGGTGCTTGGAGACTCTCATTAGTGTGCTGGGTTTGCCCGTTGCTCCTGGATGGGTCATTATCTCTCAGCTTTGCGGCCAACAGAGCCAGCAAACACGCGGCTGCTCGTATAAGGCAAAACACAGCATGCGTCCCCACTGATGCTTGCAAAACAAGGAGAGGCTTTTCACCTTGAACCTGTGGTGCTACACGTGCCCTCCTCCTCCCACGACAGTGCCACAAAGTCCGTTTCTAAGAGCAAAGCTCCCCCTGGGTCTCCTGTCAAGGGGGCAATCGAGAAAGCACTGAACTCCTGGCTTTGGAAGTGAACCTGCGCTCTTGGAGGAAGGAGGTTTACAAGCGGCCCTGGAGAGACTCCGAGAGACTGTGTCCTGGTCACAGACAAACCAGTGCCTTCCGACGTCCTGTGTGGGGTTGCTCTCCGGTGGCGTCCCACCTGCATGTCAGAATCAAAATGGGAAACACGAATCTCTGACGCCTGTCTCTGTCCCCGGGAACCGCAGACCTCCGGGGCTGGGCCCCTGCCATCAGTGTTCTTTTATAATAGCTGCAGTAACTCTAGCAGGCAGCCAGGGTCTTGGTCATGCCTCTCAGCAGTGGGAGAAGGGAGCAAGGTGCATGGTGGGAGAACTCAGCCTCCCAAGCCCTGTAGCCTGGGTTTCTTTCTTTCTTTCTTTCTTTTTTTTTTGACAGGCAGAGTGGACAGTGAGCAGTGAGAGAAAGAGACACAGAGAAAGGTCTTCCTTTGCCGTTGGTTCACCCTCCAATGGCCGCCGCGGCCGGCGCACTGCGGCCGGCGTACCACGCTGATCTGAAGGCAGGAGCCAGGTGCTTCTCCTGGTCTCCCATGCGGGTGCAGGGCCCAAGCACTTGGGCCATCCTCCACTGCACTCCCGGGCCACAGCAGAGAGCTGGCTTGGAAGAGGGGCAACCGGGACAGAATCCAGCGCCCCGACCGGGACTAGAACCTGGTGTGCCGGCGCCGCAAGGCAGAGGATTAGCCTGTTGAGCCACGGCGCCGGCCCTTGTAGCCTGGGTTTTGGTTCACGCACTGCCAGTTTCTAGCTGTGAAAGTTCTGGACCGGCCCTGAGCAGTAGAAAACTCTGTGGTCACCGAACTGGCCTGTAACCGCGCTGTCTGCTGTAGTAGCCGCCAGCCTACGGGGGAGCTCCAGACACTGCACGCAGGGGCCAGGCTTGTGGCACAGGATCAGCCTCGTCTGCCATCCCATATCAAAGCCCCGAATTGAGTCCTGGCTGCTCTGCTTCCGATCCAGCTCCCTGCTGGTATACCTGGGAAAGCAGCCGACAATGGCCCAAGTGCTTGGGGCCCTGCCACCTAGGCGGGAGACCAGGATGGGGTTCTAGACTGCTGGCTTCAGCCCTGGGCCAGTCCTGGCTGTTGTGGCCATTTGGGGAGTGAACCAGCAGATGGGAGATTCTCTCTATCTTGCTCTGTGTTTCAAAATAAATGTTAGGAGAAGTGCATGGGAAATGGGTTAAAAGATAGTTTATTTTGGTGAAAAACAACTCTGAAATCATGCATAGGTTTTTTACTTCACACATTTTCCATTTTCCCTGACCTTTTTTTAAATTATTTTATTTATTTGAGATGTAGAATTACAGAGAGAGAGAGAGAGAAAGGTCTTCCCTCCACCGGTTCACTTCTCAAATGGCCACAATGGCTGGAACTGGGCCAATCTGAAGCCAGGAGCCTGGAGCTTCTTCCAGGTCTCCCACTTGGGTGCAGTGGCCCAAGCACTTGGGCCATTTCTGCTTTCTCAGGCCATAGCAGAGAGCTGTATTGGAAGTGGAGCAGCCGGAACTTGAATCAGTGCCCATATGGGATGCCGGTGCCACAGGCAGAGGCTTAGCCTACTATGCCACACAGCCAGCCTCTCCCATGAACTTATTGAAGGCTCCTTGTATGCATGGATTTCAATGTTTCTGAAGCAAACAAACAAACAAACAAACATGTTTTTGCATCCAAACAAGCACCTTTTAATTCCACTTTCCATGAATGTTCTGAAGGACTCTTGCATAGCGGTTGGGCGCTTGAACTCAGGACTGGGGCGACTTTGGGGGTGAATTTTTAAATGTGTTCCATTTTAACTCATTGACACCTAGATAGTCCCACACGGTAGCTGGCAGCTACCATCCTGTACAGAGCCCCTCCAGAAATGTACCCGACATCTGTAGGGTAGGAAATAGGGTTATTTTGCTGGGATATTGTCGGAATTAGAGATAATGTAAATAAAGTGCTTGGGGCACACGGGGCACTCGATAAAATAAAAGCTGCTCATTTTCTTGTATTAAGAGCAGCCTGCCACTCTTTAAACAAACAAACAAACAAACAGAAAGCTTGCCTGGAAAATGAGTGCTCAGAACACCCCGACCGCAGAGGTTAAAAATTCCCAGCCGTTCCAGAAAATATCCCTTAATTGCAGAGGTTCCTTTGCAGCGGGAGGTTATCAGTTACAAGGGCTGTATTTCATTACAGATCTAGCCGCAGCTCAATAAATTAAGCAATCACTCAAAATAACATGCTGCTTTAATCCCCTCGCTTGGAACGCGTTCAAGCCGCTTGGTGTTCTGTTAGCACACAGCCCTGCACGGCGACTCACCGTGGCCTTGCTGCTTCTCCCTGGGTTCATCAGCCCCTCGCCGGGCACGCCTTGCCGCTGGGAGGGAGGAGTCCGAGCCGAGCTGAGCCGAGCCGAGCCGAGCAGGCCGCCTTCTCCTCACAACTGGAGCTCTCTCGTCCTCTGGCCTTGACCTGTTTCCACGTCTCGTTGGCTCCAAGTGCTGGCAGGTTTATCTGCCATCGGGACAGAGCCGCTCCTCTGTAGCTGGTTCTGGGCGTGCAGCGCTAACTCCCATCGGCTTTCCCATTCACATATTCTCTCTAGTGGTTTCTCATCTCACAGGACAATCTCGTTTCCCCTAGAAACTTGGCACCGGAGGTGTGAGCCTGGGAACATATTTGTTTGTGTAAATTAAAAGAAGAGCATGTTTTGACCATATTTAAGTTCTACCCACACTCAAGAAATAAATACTGGCTTGCACAATGCTTCTTGCTGTACGGTTCTGGCTTACCTCCCCTATCAAACCCAGGCTGATGAGAGCTGCAGGGACAGCCTGGGACAGCACCTCCACCCCCAGCCCAGATTCGCACATAAAAGTCCCCTTACCTCGCCTGCGCCTTCGTTCCCTGACACACTGCCCGCTCGCTGGCGTGGGAGGACACAGCAGCCACTGGCGGTGTCCCTCAAGCTCTGCTGGTGGACGTGTGTGTGTTGACCTTTTTGAGGGGCGCTGGGCGACGGTTGTAGAAATTAAGAAAGCACATATCCTCGGACCGAGAAATTGCACTTCTAGGAACTTATCTTACATGTGAGCCTGGCCACGTGCCAGAGTGTATGTATCTTTTTAAGGCCAAATCCTGGCGTGGACTGAAATGTTGGCCAGCAGGGGCAGGTTAAGTGCAGGAGGATGTCAGAAGGCGTTCATGAAAGTGAGCTGCTCCTGAGAGCTGTCACGTCTTTGGAATATACTGCAAAGTCTCCAGCCTTCTGAGCAGGACAAAAAAATGCACTGGGAACGCTAAAGGAATCACTCTGGAAGATGGTGCAGACTGTGTGTCGTGGTGACTCCCCCCACAGTACGACTGGACCTGGAGAAGATCCAGGCGGAGCCCCCTTCCGGTCCACCCTTTCCCCTTGGGGGCTGCTTTCCTACTAGCAGCGTGGAATTGTCTTTTTAAATCCTGGGATAACTAAAACACAGAAAATGCTGTTTTTAAAAATCGCTTGCACACCCGGGGTGTGCAGTGATCATAACACAACAGGAACATGCTGTGGGATCCACCTGCAGACGGTGCAGTGGTGGGGGAATCTTCTGGTTTCTTTAGGCAAATAACCTGTGGTGGCCCCTGGAGAGATGAAAAATATGTCCACTTCACAATCTACAGTCAGTGGCTCTTACCTGACGTGGCCAAAGAAAGGACAAAGGGGCCAGCGTTGTGGCGCAGTGTAGGTTGAGCTTCTGTCTGGGATGCCGGTTTGTGTCCCAGCTGCTCCACTTCCAGTCCAGCTCCCTGGAAAAGCAGCTGAAGATGGCGCCCGTCCTTGGGCCCCTGCACCCACGTGGGAGACCTGGATAGAGTTCCAGGCTCCTAGCTCTGGTCGCGGCCATTTGGGGAGTGAGCCAGCAGATGGAAGACCACCCTCGCGGGGCCTCTCCCACTTTCTGTCTCTCTGCCTTTCGTATTAGTTTTTGAGAAGTGAAGAAGGCTCTGGAGAGGAAGCGCTGATTCTCGATTATCCAGAGGGGCACAGAACGTGATGTGTGTCCTTGTAAGAGAAGCAGAAACATCATGGAGAGAAGACGGGCACAGACTGGCAAGGTGCGGCCAAGGCTGCAGGCCACCAAGCCAGCAGAAGTTGGCGGCGGGAAGGAGGGCTTTTCGCTGGATGGCCCGGGCGGCACAGCCCTGCCGCACCTCGCCCTCCTGGCCTCCACAGCTGGGAGGTGATACATTTCCGTGGCTTAAATCACGTGGCTTGTAGTGATTCATTTCAGTGGCCCTAGGAAGCCTACAACCTGACTTCCCTAACCCTACTAACCCACAGGCACCTGAGAAAGCAAGGTGGGAGGCTGTGGCTATGACAAGAGAATCCCAACACGTGAGCGCCAGTCCAGTCCTGGCTGCTGGAATTCCAATCCAGCTCCCTGCTAAGGTGCCTGGGAGGGCAGTGGAGGATGGCCCAAGTGCTGGGGCCCTGCTACCCATGCGGGAGACCTAGATGGAGTTCCTGGCTCCTGGCTTCAGCCTGGCCCAGCCCTGGTCATCCTAGCCATTTAGGGAGGGAACCAGCAGAGAGAAGACCTCTCTTTGTCTCCTCTTTTCTCTGTGGTTCTGCCTTTCAAATAATTATTTTTTTTTAAGAATTCTTTTAAAACAAAAGACAGCAAGCCAGCAGGCAGGCCTGTGTGCCCTGGTGAACACAAAGAAGTCAATGCACAGATATTAACTGAGCACATACGAGGCGACAGGCCCAGGTGCCGAGAGGCGCAGAGAACCAAAGCTGCCTGCCCACCTGGAGCTGAGTGCAGGAGAGGCTAGGAGAGCCGGGAACAGGGACGGGGGTGGGGGTGGGGGGCTCGAGGCAGGGGCTGGGGTGAGCTGTTCACTGAGCAGGGAGCAGAGACAAGGAGGCGAGCGTGAGAAGCCAGCAGAGAAAACAAGTGCAGGGCCTGAGCGGCCCTCGGGATGAGAGCAAAGAGGAACCAGCTAGCTTGTTTCCCCTCCACCCTCCCTCCGTCTCTCTCCCTCGCGGGCTGCTGCGTGCCCAGGACTGGAGGCGCAGGGATGAGGAAGCCTGGGTCTCCGAGCTGGGTGCCTCCACTCATGGCGGGCAAGTCACAGGGGCCAGAGCGAGGCCAGGACAGGCTAGGCCTGGGCGGGGGACAGCTCCATCCCTGGAGGGGAGGAGGGCCTGGGCTGCGGATGAGGCTGGGGCGATGGAGGCCTGCAGAGAGAGCAGGACTTGCAAGCCCAGCACAAGCACAGGGCAGGATTCAGCAGAAGTCAGCTGGCAGGCGGGAGTCTGTGTGCCCTGCCCTGGTCACGTGACCACAGCGGCACCAATCATAACGCTCAGCTCAGGCGTGCGCTCCTGTGATTGGTGACGTTGAATCACGTGTCCAGGCCTGGCCCATTGACTGTAGCTGAGGGAGGAGTACCGTGGGCAGCCATCTTTTGCTGTATTCCCTGGGGGTGGCAGATCTGTTACCGGAATAGGGGAGAGGAGGCTGGCAGAAAAATGAAAAAAGAGCCGACCACCACCTCCAGAGCCTTCTGCTGTGTGTGCCGCTGCTACATTCCTTCTGCTGAGAACCCGTGCATCCTGAGCTGGACACTGCTTTCCCGTGCCACTCGGGCTGTCCATAAACCACATGGCCACCAGCGGATCTACTGAGACTGATGGTTGTAGTTACTTTTCCGGTTGTTCCGTTATTGTGACCAAATTTCAAATGTCCAGCTTTCAGACTGCATTTTGTCGTGCCCCCTCAGTGTAGGCGTGGCGTCTTGATTGTTGTGTGAGATCCCGGCCAGGCCTGGGCACTTGATGTAGCAGGTGCAGAATCCCAGGAGAAAGGAATTATGGGATAGCGACCAACATAATCTCATGAGGAGACCCAGAGGACTGCGAAGTTCTCACTGAGTCCGTCCCTCCTCCCTCACCCCACCTTTCCCAGGCCGGGCCCCTTGCATGAGAAGCCTCTGTTAGCTTAAGTGCACCTGTGGGTGTCATCCCAGCACACTGGGGGCTCTGAATGGCTGAGTGTCTTAGTGAAGATCTTGAGTAACGGGGCTGAGGGTTTGGATAAGCACGGGAAACCAGGCTTGTTGCGCTGGAGTTCTCTCTGGGCCGAGCGGGCTCTGGGGTCACAGAGGATGCCAATGTGGACCATGGCCACCTGCTACTGTGGGGCGTCCCTGGTCCCGGGGGGCCTCTGTTCTTAAGGCTGCAGCCCTGTCATCTGCTGGGGTATCCGAGTATACTCAGAAACCAGGACAAAATGATACGGCCACATAAAACAACTGTGGCTCTTAGGGAAGAAGGCTTAAGACAATTTTTTTTTTTAAATGTGCTTATAACCCACGTGTCAGCTGGGGTCCTCTTATTTTTGGAGATCCAGATGAAATGAGCTTGCATCTTGTTCCACGTGCCATGGGAGTTTTCCAGGGATTAGGGGTAGATGGTGCTTGTGTCTCTCCCAGGACTGGCAGGTTCTGGATTCCCAAATCCGCAGAATCAGTTCTGCTTGGGGGACCCTTTGGCTGCCCTCAAGGCGGGGCTGGCCTCAAGCACAGGGAACCTGTGCCCTCATGCAGGACCACACTTGACCAGGCTCTGCTGTCGCCATCTTGAATGTCTTTTTTTTTTTTTTTAAGATTTATTTATTTTAACTTGAAAGTGAAAGTTACACAGAGAAAGGAGAGGCATAGAAAGAGAGAGAGAGAGAGAGAGAGAGAGAGAGATCTTTCATCCAATGGTTCACTCCTCAATTGGCTGCAACGGCCAGAACTGCACCAATCTGAAGCCAGAAGCCAGGAGCTTCTTCTGGGTCTCCCACGCAGGTGCAGGGGCCCAAGCACTTGGGCCATCTTCTACTGCTTTTCCCAGGCCATAGCAGAGAGCTGGATGGGAAGTGGAGCAGCCGGGTCTTGAACCAGCGCCCATATGAGATGCCGGCGCTTCAGGCCAGGGTGTTAACCCACTGCACCACAGCGCCGGCCCCTCTTGAATGTCTTAATTTTGATTTTTCATCTTCATTTGAGATGAAATCAAATGCTTACAACAGCAGAGCTGGACTGGGGCCAAAGGCAGGAACCAGGCACTCCATCTGCTGCCTCCCAGGGTCTGCATTAGCAGGAAGCTGGAGTCGGGAGCTGGAGCTGGGAATTGAACCCAGGTCCTCTGATGTGGGACACTGTATCTAACTGCTAGGCCCAGTGATGCCAAATGCCTTTCCCTGAAAGTCTTAATTTTTGAACACGGAGTTCTACGGTTTGGCTTTCCCCTGGATCCTGCGAATTACGTAGCCCCTTCCTGACTCATGCTGGGGCTATTTGTTTCCCCGCCCCTCGCTGGCTCACTTCAGAGTCTGTCCAGTCCCTCATTCACCCCATTCTACCCACACAAGGAGATGTGAATGTTGAAACTCTGCCTGAAGGTTGGAACAATAGAAAGTGTTGCGTCTTAGGGGAGGGCACTACTAGCGGTTAAGACCCTGCTCGGGACACCAGGGCCCACAGCAGAGTGCCTGGGTCTGAGTCCCAGCTCTGTGCCTGATCCCGGCTCCCTGCTAATATGCGCTCTGGGGAGGCAGCAGGTGATGGTTCAAGGAATTGGGCTCCTACCTCCCACACAGGGGAACTGGCCAGAGTTCCCAGCTCCTGGCTCACCCGGGCCCAGCCCTGGCCAGGCAGTTGGGGCATAAAGTGGCAGGTGGGAGTTTTCTTTCTCAAATAAAACTTAAAATTCTCACCTCTCAATGCCTGCATTGGCTTTGAAATGCTTGATGGGAAACAACGGGAGAGCAGTAGGTAGAGGAAGCCAGACAGACAAAAGACGGATTGTTGTTGAACCTGGACGAGGCGTTGGGTGTGTAACACCGTCGCCATGTTTAGACTTCCATAACATAAAGTGGCAAAGGGAAATCTAAGACCTGCCTTTGGCAGCTCCTCCACATGTTGAACACGAGGTTGCCTAATGGCCCAGCAACTCCGCTCCTAGCAGGAACCCAAGAGAAAAGAAAAAGCACATCCACACGAACCCTGGAGCAGGAATACTCACTGTATCAACCACCCGTGTGTCCGTCAACTGAAAGAGGATAAACAACATGATCGAGGCACGAATGAGTCCCTGAACAGGACTGGAGCGCAGACACAGGCTGCCCCAGGGCTGAGCCTCGGGGAAGGAGCCAGTCGCAAAAGGCCCACCCAGCCTGTGATTGCTTTGCTAGGAAACACCCGGAATACGCAACTGTAGAGAGAAGAAAAGCAGAGTAGAGGCTGTTTAGGGTTAGCCGCATGAGTGCACCGGGCCGGGCTGGGGTTTACCACTGAAAGTGTCTTGGGGTCGCTGGGATGACGGTTGCACATCCCTGTGAATCTACTGCAAGCCCCTGCTGTGCCTTCACTGGGCGAGCGGTGTGGCTTGTCTCTCGAGCTGCACACCTTCCTCCTACCACTCATCATAGGAAGCTTCAGGTCCCAGCTTCCGTCCTGGTGGGAAACCACCCCCCTCGTTTCTCCCTCTCCCTGTGCACACACGTGTCACCCCTTTTCTGGCTATCTTCTTGTGCCTTAAGAGACCCTTTGTTCTCACACACTGGAAGTGCCTTCCACAGCCAGAGTGCCCCACTGAGGTGATTTCCTTAAAGCAGGAACCTTCTTTCCTCCTTAAAAGTTACTCAAGGGATAGGCATTAGGCACACACTGCTGGGGGGTGGGGTGGGAGGGCTGGCGCTGGCTGTGGGCACAGTGGGTTAACCACCATCTGCAATGCTGGCATCCCATGGGGGTGCAGGTTTGAGTCCTGGATGCTCCATTTTTTTCCCCAAGATTTTGTTCATTATTTATTTGAGAGGCAGAGTTACAGACACTGAGAGGGAGATACAGCGAGCGAGGTCTTCCATCCACTGGCTCACTCCCCAAATGGCTGCAACAGTCAGAGCTGGGCCGATCCAGGAGCTTCTTCCGGGTCTCCCACGTGGTTGCAGGGGCTCAAGGCCTTGGGCCATCTTCTACTGCTTTCCCAGGCCACAGCAGAGAGCTGGATGGGAAGAAGAGCAGCCAGGACCGAACTGGTGCCCACATGGGATGCCGGTGCCACAGGTGGAGGGTTAACCTACTGTGCCACAGCTCTGGCCCTGGAGGCTCCACTTTTGATCCAGCTCCCTATGAATGCACCTGAGAAGTCAGCAGAAGATGGGCCAAGTGCTTGGGCCCCTGCACCCACACAGGAGACCCAGACAAAGCTCCTGGCTTTGGTCTGGCCCAGTCCTAGCTGTTGTGGTCATTTGCAGATGGAATCAGCAGATGGAAGATCTGTCTCTCTTTCTCTCCCTCTCTGTATCTCTGCCCTTCAAATAAATAGAATCTTTTGTTTAAAAAAGAAAGAAAGAAGAGCTGCCTGGGACTCCCACATCCCATATCACAATGCCAGGTTTGAGCCCTGACAACTCTTCTGATCCAGCTTTCTGGTCATGCATAACTGCGGGGCAGCCCTGATGGTTCAACAGTTGGGTCCGTGCCACCCCATGTGGGAGACCCACATTGAGCTCTAGGCTCCTGACTTCAGCCTGGTCCAGCCATGGCTGATGTAGGCACTAGGACCACGAACCAATGGATGAAGGAGCTTTCTCTCTGTGCCTTTCAAATAAAGTGATACTAAATCTTTATGAAATTCTTAATTAAAAAATGTTAGCTGACAGCTATGAAAGTTACAATGTAAAACTGTTACCAAAGACTAATAAGGACTAATTGCAACTTCCAAGAGCTTCAGAACTCCCTCAAGGAAGGAAGAGCTAACAGCCTGGGGAGAGACAGTGGCCATCAGTTCTAGAAAGTAACTTGATTCCCTCATGGGGGGTGGGGTGGGGGCTGGGAGAACAAGAGGCCAGGGCCAGTTCACTTTGTTCCACCTGAGAGGCAGGTTTCTGGTCTAAAACAGGGGCTGGCAAACCATGGCCTGGGGGCCACATTTGGCCCATTTCTTGTTCTTGTAAATAAAGTTTTATTAGAACACACAGCTACCTACATTCATTCGTGTATTGTCTACTTTCAAGGCAGAGACCAGAGAGCCTGGAAAACTTTAGAGATTTACTCTTGGGATAGAAGAGGCAAGCTGAACCCCTCGCTTAGCCACCTGCTGCCCGTGTGGCCCTGAGCAAGCCAGTTCCTCTAAGCCTGAGGCTGGTGACAGGACCTGCGTTCATGCTGCTTGTGTGCCTGCACTGACTTCCCACGTGGAAAGCACTCGAGCTGGTTATGCCATTACATAGCAAATGAGGACAGTAATGCTTCCACAGGCTTGTCATGGTGACAACGGGCCGTGCCTGTGCAAAGAGCTGGCCCTGAACTGCAGAAATGTTTATTTTTGTTACAAATATCTTAAAGGCTTTTGGAATGATTCTTTGCTTCTTGGTAATATTTATACCTTGGCATCTGCAGAGTGGAGAGGAATTTTAATTTCAAGGAAAAAAGGATCTTGACTTGCAGTCCTCTCCTTTAACAGCCCATGAAACGATGACCCCGTCCCCTGGTTGGGTCTTGAAACCAGGCAGAACCCAAGTATTCTTGGAGTTCACTCTGCCTCTTAGTAACAAGATTCATAGAGCAGGCCTGTAGGCCTTTAGACACTTGTGTTGCCTTTGAACTTCCTACCAGACGTGCCAAACAAGAATCTACTACAAGGCGTCAGCAGGTTTGGGGGGAAGGGAGAGGATCTTTTTTTTTTTTTTTTAATTATTTATTTATTTAAAAGACAGAGTTACAGAGAGAGCTTCCATCCACTCGTTCATTCCCAAATGGCCACAATGATCGGGGCTGGGTCAGGCCAAAGCCAGGAGCTTCAGCAGGTCTCCCACATGATTGGCAAGGACCCAAGAACTTGGGCCATCTTTGCTGTTTTCCCAGGTGTGTCGGCAGGGAGCTGGGTTGCAAATGGGGCAGCTGGGACTCAAACCGGTGCTCAGGTACTGGCATGGTAGAGAGCGCTGTAACCTACTGCGCCACAGCCTGGGCCCCAGGGAGAGGGTCGTAAGAGACCTGAGTCTCCCAGATCCTGGGGGGCTGTCCAGAAAAAAGCTGGGGTGGCCAAGACTGGCACAGCGCCACTGACCTGCTTTTCTGGAAGACATCATTTTAGTAGGTTTGTCTTGAAACCATGCAGCGGTAACCTCCCATTCGTTGGTTTCCATGTACAGCTGTTAACAGAGCATCTAATACATGCTAGGACCTGCAGACACAGTGCCAAAAGAGCCACGGTCTCAACTCGGCTGTCAGTTCTGCAGCCTTCCATGCACAAGACAGGATTTGGGGCAACTGAGCCTTGTAGTGAATTTTTTTTAAAAAGATGTACTTATTTATTTGAAAGGCAGGATCGCAGAGAGGAATAGGCAGAGACAGTGCCCTTCCATTGCTGGTTCACTCCCCAAATGGCTGTAGCAGCCAGGACTGGGCCAGGCCAAAGCCAGGAGCCTGGAACTCTATCTGGGTCTCCCACGTCGGTGGCAGGGGCCCAAGCACTTGGGCCACCTGCTGCTGCTTTCCCAGGCGCATTAGCAGGGAGCTGGACCAGAAGTGGAACAAGCCAGCATTCAGACTCGAAATGGCACCCACATGGGCTGCCAGCACTGCAGGCGGTGGCTTAAGCCACGATGCTGGCCCCATGTACTGAATCTTCATATTCACCCCAGCGTTTCGGTTGCACAGCAAAAGGCTGAATTGATGAGCTGGAAAATTGCTCTGGACCCAGCTGCCTGCTGTATTCATACTGCGGATGGTGGTTACCGGTGATGACTTCGTGGCACATGAAGACAGGGCAAAATTGCCTACCTGACTTGCAACATGAAACGGTGGGGCCCTTGGTCCAAAATTAAGAATTTCAAGGGTTGGGTGTTTGGTGCAGTGGGTGAGAGGCTGTTTGGGATCAGCTTCCATCTCTGCTTCTGAGTCCAGCGTCCCGCGCTCACACACACCCTGGGAGGCAGCGGGTGACGGTTGAAGTACAGGGTCCCTGCCACCCATGGAGGGGACCCAGATTGGGTTCCAGGCCCCTGGCCCTGGACAGGCCCAGCCCCGGCTGTTGCAGGAATCTGGGGAACGAACCACTGTATGGAGGAGCACTCTGGCCCTTTCAAATAAAAATTCAGAAGTTCAAGTTGACAATAGCAGAGCGTGAACCCGTTCAAGGGCCCCACGGCTGAAGTCCAGCATGGGGCTGGCCCCAGTCACCCTGCAGGGCCCAGCTCTTGGGGAGGTGGAGCAGGCACGGAGGATGGCCTCCGCGGCCCCGGCCGGCCTGCTGTGACGATGCGGTTCGCTGTCATTACTCTTACATAAGGGCTAAGACATATATAGCGCAAAGGCCAGGCCAGGCTCTTCACAGTCACTTCTTTCATCCCTCTGCCGCGCCCTATTATTCTGAGGCCTGCCACCTGGAAGACCAAGGACGTAACTGGGCAGCGACACAGGTGCCGTCTGCAGCCAAAGTCAAAACACCGGCTACTCGGCCCCTGGGTCTGCAGCGCCAGGACTTCAGAGATACGCATGCGCTCTAGACCCCTGCCTGGGGCAGCCAACTGACAGCGCGCAGCGTGGCGCCTTCACCCTAACCCACGCTGCGTTCCCCATGCAGGCACTTGTATCTGCCTCCGCGGACCCACGGTGCGGGCAGGGGCTAGGCCTCGCTCCCTGCGGGGACTCGGGCCCCTGGCACCTTGTTTTGCACACGGTAGAGCTGGCAGGTGCAGGTGTCCCTGCTGGGGCAGAGCCAGTTCCAAGCCTGCGTGGTCCAATCTCGAGGTCCCGTGGCTCTTGGGGGTTCTCCCCGCCGTGCCCGTGGAGAGGTATGAAGGGGCACCCCGCGAGCCCAGCCCCCACGCAGCAGCCTGCGGGGCGGGGCTTGGGTGCCGGGAGCAGCTGTCCCCTGGTCTCTGTGCCCAACGCAGCTGGCCAGCTGGGCCCCTCTGCCACCCTCCCACTCCATGACACAGCAGAAAGTGAAACCAGAGTTGGTTCCTGCTGGCTGGGCGAGCACCCGCTGCTGCTTCCCTACGAAAACACCCTGGGGGGTGAGGGGGGTGAGATCCGTGTGGCCAGGCACACCCCGGCCTGCGTGCAGCAGAGGCCCCTCGGGGCTGTGGCGTCGTGGCGCCCGCTCACAAGCCACCGTGGCCTCTGCGTTGAGCCCCGTTAACCTGCGCGTCCTGGCGCATAGCGGGTTTACTGGGCTCCCCATTTTCCAGAGGCAGCTGAGCCGCGGAGAGGTGGGCTGGCTGGCACGGAGCGTACTGGGACGTCTGATTCCAAAATGAGAGGAACTGGCGGCTGGGGGCGGGACTAAGGGGTGTTGGAGTGCACGGTGGGCGGCTCCCCCTGACAAGGGACACCTGTGACACCCAGATTTGGAACCGCTGGAGCCCTCCATGGGGTTTAGAGGGAAACCTCCCTCTTCTCCCCTCCCCCCACCCCATGGCATAGAAAATCCCTAAGGAAAGAAAAAATGCTCAAAGTGCCCCTAAGAAAATTCCCGACGACCACCTTGATTCCTGCCCCACCCCTGGGCCACCTGTGCAGCATTTTTCTTTCAAGAGACCAACTGTGTTTTTCCTTACATAAATTGAGGTTAAAAAACAAGGCGGGGTCGGGGGGGAACCCTCCCCATAGCCCTGCCCCGAATGGAAAACCAACCACTTACCACAGAGGCATGAGCTGTGCAAGTTACAATAATGCACCTCCTTAGCCAGGTACCGCTTAAAAGATAGGCATGTTAGCCTGGCAAGGCTCTTCCTGAGGAACTGGAGGCCCAGAGAGGCTGAGTCACCGGCCTGGGGTCACACAGCTGGAGGGTTGCAGCGCCACTGGAATGCAGGCCTGGCTGATTCCAGATCCCGGGGCTTGTTGCTGGGCTGCGCTCTCCCCTCCCAACTGCCGTTTTAGGCAGTGGATAAATACTGGTGTCAGCACGCTCCATGTTGCATGCTTTCACGCCCTGTTTGTGAAGCCTGCACCCTCCCAGCTTGTCCATCACTGCCTCCTGGACGCACTAGCATCCTGGGGGCTCTGTGAGGCCAGAGCCTGGGCTGTGGCCCTTCCCTTGGCAGATGGGGAAACTGAGGCAGAGAGCGGCCAAGTGTGCCATCTCGGGGAGCTGGGGGACTAGCCAGGACTGTCTAGGGCCCCCTGCCAAGGTGAGGATCCCAAAGGCCCTGCAGGAGGACCTGGCCTGTCAAACAGGTAGCGCCTGTTTCTTCCCCCACAACCCCCAGAGCAAAGCTGGCTGGTTCCCAGGCCTGAGCCCTTGGAGAGCAGAGGGCAGGTTCTGCAGCCCGCGTCCAGGGTGGCTCTGCTTAATTTCTCGTGGCGGTCAGGGGAGATCTCCCCCGGGGGCCAGAGGACCTCTTGGGGACAGCTGGGGGACACGTTTCTCTCTTCTTGTAGTCAGCGGGACCCCGAGGAATACTGCAAGAGCAATAAGGATTTTTAGGGGCATTATGATACTGGAATGCAAACACATCTGCCCCCAAAAGTCCCTCATTTTCCCTGCGGTAACGAACCTGTTGGCAGGAAGGGCCGAGAACCCAGACTAAAAAGGAGAAAAGGTACAACGTTAGGGCGCACTTGGAACAAGTGAGCGCGTTCCCGGGTGCGGCGGCTCCGTCATCTTCTCCACAATTGCCCGGATGTGTCACGAGGTGGCAGCTTCGGCATCCACCACCCTCCTCTGCACCCAGCAAACCACGCAGGTCTGGACTCCCAGAGCTAGTTCCCAAAGGAGTACCAGGGTGATTCCCTAGCGCCAGGCTTCTTCCCCCATACCCTGGGGGAGTCTTCCAAACCCTCGTTAACGACCTCAGCGAGCCACAAATCCATCAGAACCTCCTGGGGGAATGTGAGTGAGTTTGTCAATTTGGAAACCCAGATGAAATTATCTGGGATGGGCAGGGGAGCTCAGTGGTTATCGCGGATGGCACAAAATGGGGGAAATTGTTGCTGAGGTCCAGGGGCCACTCTGAGATGAAGGAATGGGGGCACAGTGTGCCCCAGGACGGTGACCCTTCAAGGTCTCTGCAGGCAGGTGCCCCCCACCATGGCAACTGGCCCAGTGGGGAGGAGGAGCTGGAAAGGGTTAAGCCCTCCACAGCGGCTGATGCCTAAAAAGGGGGCTCCTAGCTCAGCGAGAGCCGGGTATCACACGGGGCCATCGCAGAGAGAGAGAGGGGCTGGCGGCTGCCTAGGCGCGGCCTGGGAGTGGGAGCAGCTTCAAAACCAGCAGAACAAAACCAGGCCGAAAACCTTTCCCTAGCACACACCCTGCTCCCACGCGCCTGTCCGTCACGTGATCCTGAAGCCCTGGCAAGGACTCCGGGCATCTGTACCAGCGAGCACCCGGCCATCTTGGCCAGGCCTGCGAGGGAGCGAGCCTACTCTAGCCCTGTGACAGCCTGCAACCCGGCCCAGGCCTCTGCTTTCACGTAGCACTGAAATATTCCCCCCGTGAACCTGCGGCTAAATACGGCCTGGCCTGCGAGGGCCTGCTCTGGACTTTAATGGCATTCGGAGATACAACCAAGAGCCCACGGGCGGCCTGCGGTCCAGTTCCTGGCGCCAACTGGGAGTCCCAGGGGTTTGGCTGACTCAGGGCTGGGCCCAGCTCCCCAGAGCAGGCGCTTTCTGGTGCCAGCGCATGGCAGGCTGCAAACTTCCTCCCTGTAGGTTTAAGGCCCACCAGGTTCTTGCCTGTCGTGGACCCTCAGAGGTGGTGGCTTCCTTATCTGACCACCTGGCCCACCCTGCAGAGCCTGTCCTCATGGCCCGAGGTTTCCTCCCAGCCTGATGAGAAAGACCCCCCTCCCCCGCCCCGTAGCTGCGGCCCCACGTGGCTCAGCACAGTAGCTGGGCCCTGCAGCCCCGCATGGCAGGCTCAGCTCCAGCAAGACTGACCAATTGCAGCTCTGTGGTGGAAGCTTCTGGAGTCATGTTTGTGCTTGTGCAGGGAGGATTTGCTCTGAGCCTGGGGGACAGCCTCACCGCTTTGGGAGATGTGAGGTTCTCCCTCCAGAGCCCACGTGGTCACTGCAGACCTGCAGACACCCTGGGGAGCCCTAGGAGGAGAGCCCCCATGCACCTGTCTGGGGCGGCTGTGAGTCTCTGTGGCGGCTGCGAGGCCACGGCTGAGCCTCGCTGGCAGTGATCCAGGCTGTGACGGGCACAGATGCCAACTGCCCAGGGCACTGAGCGCACGCACGATGCCAGCAAGACAGCCTCATTTTCTGCACGGCCCTGAGAAAACTTCCACACTGCACTGCCCGGCCAGCCATTGCGTCTCCTCCCTGCCTAGGCCAAACCCCCAGGAAGAGCCTACAGTGGCCGCCCCTGGCCCCCTCTTCTCATTTCCTGGGGTGTCCCTTCCCTGTAGCGGTGCAGGCGTTCAGACAAAAAGTGTCCTCTGGGATTCGCTAAACTCGGATGTTTTCTATAAAGACGGTGCACTTGACGCTGTGTGGATATCCACACGTGCCCCGGCGAGGGGGTTAGGGGTTACGGCATCCTGGCTGCTGCTGAGAGAGAGAGAGAGAGAGAGAAAGAGAGAGAGAGAGAGAATCGTGGGCTCAGCCTCACACAGGGTTCCCCCCTCTGCAGCACCCACACCTCTTTCCCTGAACGGTCTGAGTGCAGTCTTGGGGTTGTAGACATCATGCTTGTGGGGGTGTATTTTCAGTGCCAAACAGCCCTGAGCCACGGGGTGTGTGAGTGTGTGTGTGTGTGTGTGTAAGTGTGTGTGAGTGTGTGTGTGTGTACTTATTTTCTCCCGGTGACCTGTCTCTGCCGAGTTTGCCTTAACTTTTCACCAGACTAAATTTTATCCTCATGCCTAAAATAGCTGTATTTACGGCACAATCCAGAGTAAAGGCGGCGAGCTGATGGGCTATTAGGAGTTCCCGGTTGATCTGGCCACAGTCTTTTTTTCTGTTCTTAATATTAGGTGGCTGGGGCGTGGAGGGGAGGGCGGGAGCTAAAAACACAGGGCGTTTCTTGTAGGGATTCGTCCAGCTGTCATTGGTTCCAGTCATATACGCGTGCTTTATTTTAAGCAAATATTTTCATATTTTCAGTATTGTATTCCCGGCTAGTCCATATTCTTTTCTCTCACAATATTCTATCACCGCTCCCCCCACACACACCTGTGGCTCATGAACCGCTAGGAGCTTAATTCAAAGTTGCTCTGTATTTTTTTCTAAATCTACACCACTTTGGGGAGTGGGGGCCAAGGGGTGGGGCTAGCAACTGCTTAATGAAATTTCACGCCGAGAGGCAGAAGGAGAAAAGCTGAAATGTGTTCCGTGCGTTCAGCAGCCCCACGGGTCATTTTAGCGGTGGAGGGGGGTGGCAAGTAGGGAATGAAGCCGTGACTCTTTGCTGAATTCACGGAGACGTCTCCCTGTAAAGCACTGATTTATAATCTCTTCCCCGTACTGCCTAGCCTGTTTCCGGGGGCCACGGCGGGAAAAGTTTGCTAAATGCATTCATGAGGGCCGACTGTAAGCCGTGCCTCTGCCGTGGCGAAGAAAAGCACAGATTGTCTCGCGGTTAGCATGGGATTCTGTCTGGTTCTGCACCATTCCCAATTAAACCATCTGAACACCCAGCTCCGGGTCCTACAGTCCAGGGCCTCGGTGCCACGCCCGGTGTTCAGCCTCGTTAACTCATGTCAAACACCCCAGTTGTAGAGGTAGCATGAAAGGCTGATTTGGTGAGATATCCTTATTTAGCCAAGCAAATGGGATTTGACAGTCGGCTCCGGTGGCGACTCAGCAAAGCCCAAACACAATTCACAATGTGGCAGTTTCCCCTCTGCGAGCTGAGCCCCGTGAGGGGTAGAGCGCCCAGCGATTGTGCTGTTTCATCGTGTCCCGTAGGAAAGAGAAGGAACTCTGGAGGTAAACCCCTTATGCCAAGGCAGCACAAATGTCACCTGTGTGGACACGCGCTGTGTCTATCAAATCACACAATCTTACAGCAGCTACAGCTCACTTTTCTGTTCCCTGCTGTGACCTCTGCCCCCTCAATTTAGGCACAAGTTTGCAAATAACTTAGGGTGTCTAAACCAAACCCAGGCTCAGCTGGAGGCTTGGGACAGGATGTGTGAATGCACGCAGTGGAGGGAACTGTACCCTCCCCATCTCTGCCGGGGAGGCCTCCCCGGGATGTATCATGCAGACTTTCTCATAAAACGCTCAGAAAATTGGAAAGAAATACTGCAGGTGGAAGTGGTAGCGGGCAGTCGGTTGCTAGGCTGGTCCTTGGAGAAACGCAGAGAGAAATGTCCTCTCGCTACCTTCATGGTTGCCGTCCGTGTTTTATTTGGGGGCCTGTAAGCAGCTGGACACAGCTCAGGAAGCAGTTCCTGGGCTTTGGATCCCGTCCCCTGGAAGGGGACGCACTCTGCGCTTTCGCCTTTCATCTTTCTGGCCTCCCATAGAGGCCTTCCACAAATCACAGCAGGTTCAGCAAACAGAACGCACACGCAGAATATCCGTCCCACCCAAAGCCTGTGTCGTCCTGCCCCTCGCAAAGTAGCCGGTTTCCCTCTGGTCCGTGCAGCCTGGCCTCCACGCCCTTACCCTCTGGGGCCGGAATCGCTCGCTGTTCTGAATGACCCCAAAAGCGGGACTTTGTGGGCCAGTTGGATAAAACATAAACTCATCTCGCCCTCAAAACCCCGATTCTGGGCCCACAGCCTCCAACCCCTTGCGCCTGCAGCAGTGAGCTCAGCACCCGGAGGCAGGGTGTGGGGCACTCCGGGATCTTTAAAGGAATCCTTACTGGCTTTTCCCTCGGGGGGTCCCCAGTTACCTTCTCCCGGGAGAGCCCGGGAGTCGCTGCTGCGGGAGGGAGCGCTCACCACCCGAGCCCGGCTAGAACAGGCCGGAAAGCCGCACAGAGAAAGCCAGGGGCGCCCCCAACGTCCCTGAGCCTAGCGCCACTCGCGCGTCGGAGGCGCCTCTCTAGCTCCCTGCGCCCTTAATTGTCACTCATTAAAGTCAAATTTGCTGCTTGCCCAGATTGGGGGAAATGATTTCCCAGTAATAGCGCAATTAGCCGCTGGGTTCTGGAGAGGCCGCCCCCCTCCCCCCGCCACCCCCCCCCGCGCGCACACACACACACACCTTTTCTCCCCCATGCAACCCCCTCCCTTTTTCACAACTTCTCCTAAAAATAAGTTATAAATATGGATGTGTCCTCAGAGGCTCTGGGCCGCGCATTCCAGCGCTCCCCTCGCTGGGGACTGGAAGCCGGCGAAACCAGAAACGCCTCCCCCGCCCCCCCAAATCAAAATGCCTTTTTTTTTCTTTTTCCCCTAACTTTTCCCCCCCTAACTTGGTGTTTTCTTGGCCCAGACACCCCATCCGCACTCCGGAACCGAATTTTTCTCTCCTGACTCCTGCTGGGCGCCCTGGCCGCCGGCTCTTCCTCCTCCTCTTCCTCCAAGGGGAGGGGCCCGCCAACTTTACTTGGGGGGCCTCAGGGGCACTCTGGGGATGGTCGACCCCACCTGTTCCAGAGCCGCAGGCCCCGGCCGCTCGCCAGCACGCTGGCCCATGCCACCGAGGGCCCCGGACGCACGTGGAGCGGCGCGCGCCACTGGCCTGCTCGCGGCGCGGCGTGGGGATCTCGGTCACGCAGCGAGTAGCGCTCGAGGGCCGGCTTTCCGGGTGGGGGCGGGGTGGCGGGCTACCTACCTCCGGGTCGCGTCCCTGGCCAGTGAAGCGAGGTTGGGGGCTGCCTCGCCCCCAGCCCACCTCCCGGCCCCGCACGCCCCTCCGGGAAGCGGCGTGGGGGAAGATCCTGGCCTCGCCACCCCGGAGCAGGGGGCAGTGGCGGCAATGCGATTGCTGCCGAGACAGGCGTGGAGCGCCGGGTCCCAGGAGAGCCTCGCGCTGCCCCCAGTCGCTGCCTCGCCGCTCCAGCTCCCACCCAGCCCGCAGACACCCGCCCCGCACCCCTCGGCCCGGCCGCCTGGGCACCCACCTGCCACGATCCCTACCCCGGCCCCGGACCATGGTGACATGCAGGACAACGGGGTGGGGGGAGACTCACCGCCGCCGCCGCCGCCGCCTCTGGGGGTGCAGGGGGGGACCCCTGGGGCTGCGCCTTCCTGGGCTCCTGGGCGGGCGTGCGCAGGGCTGGGGACGCCCGCGGGGCCCTGCAGCCTCCGCCCCGATCCGAGCCCAGCCTCGATCCTTCACCACGGTAGTGTGGGGGGGTACTTACAGAGAGAGAAATCCCGCCCCTCCCCAGACAAGATTCAAGTGATGGGCGGGGGGTGGGGGGGACGATCTTTTTCTGCAGAGCTCGGAGCGGACCGGGCTGCACCCGGCCTCCGGTCCGCGGCAGCCACAAAGCCGCGCCCCCGGCCCCCCGGCCCCCGCCCCCACCCCCCAGCGCCCTATGGCCGGCCCGGGGCGGGGGCTGGGCCGGCCCGGGGTTGGCCGCGCTGGGGAGGCGGCGGCGGCGGCGGCGGCGGCAGCGGCGGCCCAGGCGCTGGGGCGGCTCCTCCCCGGCCCGGGGAGAAGCGGAGCGCGCCTGCCGGGGTGGGGGCGGGGGCGGGGGCAGGGCCAGGGCCGGGGCCGGGGGACCTTCCTAGAAACCCTCGCCAAATATAGCCCGCGGATAGGGGCATTCCTAGAAATGCGGCGGCGACGTCAGCCCCGACCTGTGGGGGCAGAGCCTGGGGTTCTCCAAACTGGGGGGACAAGGGCGGGGAGCGAGTCCCCGTGTCCCACACGCCCGCTGGCCAGAGAGGGAGTCGGTGCCGGGCTTCCCCCAGTGGGGAGAGGCGTTCTCCGGACTCCTCCCCGTGCGCCTGGGGGATCCCTGGGCGGCGGGCGCGGGGGCGCGCGCGCTTCAGGTTCGTAGCCGCCAGGAGCCGGGAGCCGGAGCCGCCCCTCGGTGCCTACGGGAGATTTCGGCCCTTCCCCCCTGCTCCGCCAAGTGCGGAACAGCATCCGCCGGGCCCCCCACGTCTTCCACCCGCCCCCTGGGGGGCCCTGACGCCTAGGGATCCCTGGAGACCCCAGATCTGAAGTAGCAGGAGCACCCTGTGTCCCCAGATAGCGCCCCAGCTGCACACCGAAAAATAAAGTTGTGCCTCCTCCTCCCCAATCCCAAGTCGCTTCCTTGCTGCTCTGGGAGATGGGGCGCAAAGTGGGAGGGGGTGGGGGGAAGCATCAGGGTACCCCGTCCACCTGGCCTCCGGAGCGGACACCCGGCCCCAGACTCAGTACAGCCCCTCCCAGCCCAGCCCAGCCCCACCCTCGCTCCTACCCAGCAACCCCAGCTCCATGGCAGGAGCCCCCCCCCACCCCCGCCCAACGAGGATCGAGGATCGGAGTAACTGAAACATGACTTGTGGCTCTCTGCACCAATGGGACTGCGCTGAGGATCCCAGGGTTGTAAAAATGCATTTGCTGTCCTCTGTCGGCCAGTGGGTGGCACATGCAGAAAACACATGGACCCAGGGGTGCTCCTGATGCCACAGAGGGCTCCCTCCCTGCCCACTCCCCCATCACTGCAGCCTCTGCACTGACTTTTGGTCCTGTGGCTGCGGTCACCCTAACTCCAGAAATCGGAGAGCAGTGTTCAAGGGGTGGCAGGGAAGAGGGTAGGGGGGAGTCTGGGTCCCCTCTGGGCAGGTCACACCCCTCTCAGAGCTGGTCACTGAAAACGGTCCTCATTCCCTCTCCAGGGCCTACCGCCAGGGGTCTTCGGGAAGCTGGTGAAAAATGCATATTATGTAAAAGTCTTCACGGATTTCCAAACTGTGTGCAACAAAGTAATCTTTAAACCGCATTTTCCACAAGCTTCTGGAAGTCCCCACGTGTGCCAAGCGCACGGAGCATGCCGTCTTACTGACCATGTCCCATTTCCCAGGCGAAAACACTGAGGCACTTGTGCAGGGTGCTGATCTGGCTTGTCCGCCTTGTGCCAGCCACAGAGCAGATGCTAGGACGGCCGTGGCAAATGGGACAGGCCCCTGCCTCCCACAAACTCCTTGTCTAAGGGAGAGGCCCAGGCGCACCTTGCAGCTGTCCAGGTCCGGAGCACAGGCTCCAGAGCCCAGCTGCTGTGGGTGGGGTGGGGCACCATGAGTGACCTGGGGAGACTGGGGGTGCCTTCTTCCGTGCCCACCCCTGGCTGTCCACTCCTGCTCCATCGATGGAGGAAGAGGCCGTGTCCTCTTCTGCTCTGGGTACTGCTTGGCTTCCCTGGGCCTCACTTTCCCCCTGGACCCAGCAGGAGTCCTGCGGTCTGCCTCGTGGGGCTCTGGGAGGGATGAAACCCAGAACCGCGTCCATGCGATGCGGTATTTGGAGTCTTTGGCGACGGTGGTAGCTGTGCTTGCTCGGCTTACCTGGAGCAGGGGATGTGCAGCCAAAGTCAGAAATGGGGAAAACACTAGGCAGCTGCTTGTGTCCGGGCAGGGCTGCGAGCGAGCGCCAAAGCCGGCTCTCTGGGGAACGCAAGGGGCGCGCTCCCGCTGCAGCCGTGCCCGCGCAGGGCCCCGCGGTGCGGCCCCAGCCCACACCTGCGCGCTGAGCTCAGCCCCTGCCCCGGGCCTGCAGCGTGGGCCCAGCAGGGCTTGGCAGGCTGGGCCGCGGGCGGCGCTCCCCCGAAGGCATCCGAGGCCCGGCCTCGCTCGTGGACTGTCCAGCCCCCTCGAGATGCCCCCGGCTTCCTCTGGGGCCCGCCCTGGTCAGGCCTGGCTGGGCTCCCCGTGACTCAAGCGAGCAGCGGGCCCGAGAGCCAGGGAGGCGCCGGAAGCGCCGCCAGACTACGGAAAACAACCGGCTCCCGGGCCGGAAGCCCCGCAGGCCCGGCCTGGCCTTCTCCCAGGAAGCGGGCCCGCCCGTGCCCAGGTTTCTGGCCCAGGGATGGTGCCAGGCCCCCGGCCAGACTGCAGCGAGGCCAGGCCGGTTGGAAGGAGCCCCCGGGAGAGGCCGAGACTCCGCGCTGAGGGCTGGTGCGGGCCAGCGCCCAGCCCGTCTGTGGGGTTCTCCTCGCGGCTGGTGCAGGGAGACAATTTCGGGGGCTCTCAGGATATCAAAAGAGGATTTCCAAAGCAGCTGTAGCGCAGCGAGCATGCCCAGGTTTTAACCGTTCCGGTGAGCGCGCGTGTGCCGACAGAGACAGGCGGGATGGCCGCACCGCAGCGCGGTCAGGCTGGGCAGGGCTCAGTGGCAGGGTGGAGAGAGCTGGGGCCAGGGTCCTCGCAGCGGGAGTTGGGGGGACAGCCTCCGCACGGCTGCTTGTCACTGCTTCTAGAGATCACGCTGGGTATCCAGTCTGGAAAGCTCACTCCGAGTGCGAGGGCCCAAGCGAGTGGCTGTCACAAGGCTGGTCCTGACACCAGAGGTGTCCCCAGCCCCCTGCCCCAGGGGCCAGCCTCAGACCCTGGAGAGGGAGCAGCCCGACCGGCACCACGCCCTCCCACAGCAGCCTGGCTCCGGGTCATGCGCTCTGTGACCCAGGTGGGTGAGGGCCACCTCCTTGCCTTGCAGCCTCCCAGAGCCTTCTGCGAAGTTCAGGTCCCCCTGGGCCTTCAGCCTTGCGTGTCTTTGGGGGCCTGGCCGTTTAGCCCAGCAGTTGACGCCTTCATCCAGCACTGGAACACCTGGCTCCGTCCCGGCCCCACCTCCTGCCTCCAGCGTCTACTGATACAAACCCTGGGAGACAGCGGTGAGGACCCAAATGATCTGCTTCCTGCCACCCACACGGGAGTGTAGACTGTGACTCTGGCTCCCGGCTACAGCCCTGTCCCAGCCCCAGCCACCGTGACCACTGGAGAGCGAACCAGTCCATGGCAGATCTCTGTCCTGTCCTATGTCTCTCAAATATATATATATATATACACACACATATAGATACACATATAGATACACGCATAGATACACACACATATATTTAAAGATTTATTTATTTGAAATTCAGAGTTACACAGAGAGAAGGAGAGGCAAAGAGAGGGCTTGCATCCGCTGGTTCACTCCCCAGTTGGCCACAGCGGCCAGAGCTGCACCAATCCCAAAGCCAGGAGCCAGGAGCTTCTTCCGGGTCTCCCACGTGGGTGCAGGAGCCCAAGGACGTGGGCCA